CAAACATTCACTTTGGCCTCTACATTCTGTTTCCTGCCCAAAGTCCAGAGTCATAGACCATGCTGTTGACTTGATCTGTACAGTACACACTCACTCTAAGGAGGGGACCCAAGCTTTAGAGGGTAAAAGCTGGTCTTTGAACTGGCTCAACATGTTGACAGCTCTTACACACATTAACATCCGTTCCTCATGCAGATCAGTTCTGCCAAAATGCCAAAATGCAATGTGCTTGACTCTTGATAAGATGCTGGACTTGTCTTTGCATTAAACATGCACAAAATCTTTTCACTAAAAAACTAAAAAAGATAGAGAGCTTAGTTCCACATCAGAGTTTCAAGAGACACAACTAGGACAAAAGTCAAACACAATGCGTTGCATATAAAACAGACACCCAACAATTTATTTATTTATTTTGCACACAATATAATTAAATACTGTGGTTTACAGTTTACAGACCTCATCACTTGGCAACCATTATTATTTAAGGAAATTACAGGGCATTAGAGTTTTTATTCATTAAAATAAAGCAAAAATACACATCAAAAACACAGTGTTTAATAGGCACAAGCTTTGCTGTTGAGCAGAAGATTACAGAGGACGGCATCACACTAAGTCTGTGGTAAACCCATGGGAATCAAATCTCATAAGTGTTTGACCAGTGCAGAACATGTTGCTTGAAACAGTCACTTTATTGAACCAAAGGATTAGGGCTCACATGCACATTAAACGGAAACAAAATATGCTACATGGAAGGAAACAAGGATAAACCACAATCAACAGATTGCAACATATATTACACACCACAAGAGTACAGTAATATTCTCAACATAAAAGTCTGTTTGAGGCTCTATGGGAGCATATGCTGGGATCCCAGATGTCAGACTCTGTTTAGTGTGTGTTTTGCTCCCCCACATGCTCCAGGTTATGTCCATGCCCATATTTGGTCCTTCCTGTTTCCTGTTCCTATTATCTTTATTGATCCCAGGTGTTTCTCGTCTTCCCCTCATCATGTCTTGTGTATTTAAAGTGTTTCCTGTTTTGAGTTCTCTGTCTGGTTTTGAACGTCGATCCCCGTGTCCTATGTGTGATTCCTGCGATGTCAATAAAGACTGTTAATCCTGATTCTCCTGCGTTCTGCTTGTTCCTCGCTCCTCACTGTAGGCACACCGTGACAGAAAACCGGACCGATACAGAAAAGTAAGCGGCGCCCCTTCTCCCCGTTTTCTTTTTGTTTTGAAAAGTCTTTTTGTTTCCTGTTTGTTTCAACCACGCGATCAGGGAAATCGCAGCTCGTTTCTCCGCCTTAGCCCGCAGAGATCTCCCCTTCTTTGAGTACGCCTGGGAATTCTGCGGGCTTGCCGCGTTGACGGCATTGGATGACGCCACCATCAATTCTCTATTCTGGCTCGGGGCCAACTACCATCGCCCCATGGACCTCCCAGACACCAAGGGACTATGCTGGAGGGAAGCGATCTACCGGTGTCTGGGGAGTGTCCGGGCCCGAGTCAGAACCAGCCCGGTTCCTCAGTCAAGCCCGCCGGCCATGGCTCTCTCTAGACCGCCGGCCGCTCCAAAGTCAAGTGCAAAGTCAAGTCAGTACCAGCTCCTCGAAAGCGCCTTGCTGTGCCTGCTCCTCCAGAGCACCCTCCAGTGCCAGCTCCTCATAAGCGCTTCCCAGTTCCCGAATCCAGCCCAGTGAGGGCTCCTGTCCCCGAGTTTAGCCCAGAGAGGGTTAGGGTGGCGAGGCTATGGCTACAGAGGCCGTCCGGCCATGGCCTCCTGAGTTCCCTACTCCGCCATGGCCTCCTGAACTGTCTGCTCCGCCATGGCCTCCTGAACTGCCTGCTCCGCCATGGCTCCCTGTGCCACCATGGCACCCTGGACTGCCTGACCCGCCCTGGAGGTATTCCCCGTGTCCCAGTCCTGCACCAGCCTCCAGGGCGCCCACCCCACCTCCCTGGTGGAATTGTTACGGCGCGGGACACGCCTTCTGGGAGGGGGGAGTAATGTCAGACTATATACATACACATTTCATTTAATCACATAAAATAAAATTATGTTGTATATAATAATGTAATATATTTACATTGTTTCAATAAAACATGAACTAAGAGGATAGAGGTCATTTTCAAACACCTCTTCATCATAGATTCATGTATAATCGACACTGTGTTGTGTTCTGCTGCATAAAAACTGGATGTGTTGGTGTAACTTAATGTATTTATTTGGTTATATAAACCTATTTTTGATTTCAATTTCAACTTTTTAGGTTATTTAACTTTTTAGACATTTTTATAATGCTTATTGAGTTTGAGAGACATATTTGAGAATATAAATGTAGGGGGGGGGGGACAGTTGATGTGTAGAATAATTGCATCAGCATTGTTTTGGATTAAAGATTCCTTTGTATCATTTTGTTACAAGCATCAAAGCTGGGGCCATTTCTGAGGCCTTTAGTCAAATCGTAATTTGATTAATTTGTCTCAGGGAACCACCAAATAAATCTAAACAAGAGAAGAGGTCACACTACGCTCTTTCAAGAGCTAAATAGTCGAATTGCTGCCTAGAGATTAAGGCACTGGCCGAGTCAAACACTTATGGAGCACTGAATTCAAGCGAGACCCATTACAGTGAATCACCATTATGCTCCTCCAATGGGAACAGCACGAGCCAGGATTCAGTTTACTCACTTGTGGGGAAACTAAAAGAAATCAATAGATTTCAAAAAGAATTGTTCAGTCATATTTTGGTTGTATATGTTCAGTCATGTTATGAGCTGGTATATGCTTCTTCGGAGATTAACAAAGTTCTCTGATTTACATTAGCCTACATTTTTGTCAGATCACCAAATTGGTTTCTGTGTTAATCACATGATTTTATAAAGAAAAGGAGAATAAAACCTAAAGAATAAAAAATTCTATGTGAAACCTAAAATTGGTCTCCTGGCATCAGGCTGTAATATCCCTTTTGTTTCTAAAATTTTCTGTTTTATTATATATATGTACTGTACAATATATAAAGCAGGATTTCGGGTGTCAACAGGGTAATAGGCATAGAGACTTTTTTCCAATTCACATTATAGGCAAGAGAACTGCTACCCCGCTGGTGTTGTTGCTGAACAGTGTCACTTTAGAAAACTTGGTAATTTTTAGACATTAATCTCATATTTCGTAATATTTGCTTTGTTGTCTTGGATTATTTTCTAATCACTACCTCCCTTGCCTACTTGAAGGGAACACCCCTGTGAAACATGAGATATGATCAAATTTGGAAATATGCAGGGGATAATCTTCATAAATCCATCTTTCTTAGAGCCACACAGTTCTTATACTGAAATGAACCTTATCTAACGAGACATCTCAGAAACATTGTCTCATTTCTCAAAAAAGCATCTGTTATCAAGAGCAAGCAGGAGTTACCATCAGTCATGTCGATGTGTTGAGGAAAGAGCTGTGCATGATTGTGTGTAGGCTACTTGAACGGAATCACATCTTATACTAATTCAAAACAACACAGGTGTGCCCATATTTGTTAATTTTCATAAAAATGTTTTTCATATATCTTCAAACTGTTGGTTAGAATCTCCATTTATAGAAAGTTCACATGGCTCCTTCAAAAGCAAACTCTTTTTGGAAGCATAATAAGATTCTTGTGACAGCTCATTAATGCATTTTCCGTTGGCTATTAATCTCTCTCGTCATTAACAATGGCCTTCTTAACCTGTTTGCATATTGTCTCATTCTCTCTGGCACTCTGTGTCTGCTCTTCTCTAAATTCAGCTCGCTTATTCCCAACTGCTATAAAAACTCAGTGTGATTTGTGTACCCAATGTTGCCAATATACCCAGGTGGAACAAGGGCTCTTTAAGTTGGATAATATATTGTAAACAAAGTCTTCAGTCGCAGGTTTTTGGGAGAGGCACATTAAAGATTAAATATTGATCCTTCACAGTCCTTTGGTGTGTCATATTTCCTGTAGCCGACGGCGGAATGCTTTAAGACAGCAGGCGGCATGTAGAAGAAAGAGACGCACGTCCGTACTGGGGCTCGATGGCCATCTATCAGTCTTTTTACAATCCTTTTCTCATTCTCCCAGTCTGGAAAGAGGGTCTGCTCAAAAAGTCAGTGGAGGCATCTGATGACTCGTAAAGATTTCTGCCCCAAAGCCTCAGCTGGGGAGAGAAAACTATAATTGGAATTGACAAGCTGGTAAGATATCGCCGGTGCTTTTTGAGAAATAATAGAAGTTATTCCTAAAAAAGAAAGTTCTTTGAAGTTAGCCATGTCACAGATATAACCCATGGAACGCAATACAGATGTGGATTTATAACTTTTATAACCAAACACACAAAAACAAGAGAGTAGAAGGCAAGCACAATCTCACACAACCTGACAAGAGAATGAATAAAATATGGCAAAGTAAAGCCGACGCATGTGGGATTCAAAGTGAGTGAGATATCCAAAACATTATTCCAGGCTGGGATTTAAGTTGATATCCCTGACACATTCATTACAAAGTCAAATTTTTAAATAATTGGCAACAGAAGTATATTTTATCAGACACTCTTGGTAAGGTTGCTCTAGTAAATAAATTAATTAATCGAATGAAGTGCACAGAGGGGCTTCCTGAATTCTCAAAAGATTTGGGTACCAAAATATTACATATTTAATGTTGTGGCTTTTGTTTTATTAATGAAAGCAACCACATGCTCAAATTGAAAAATCAATAGAACGTGTTACATAATATAAATCCCCCAGATTAATCAGCATAGACGCCAATGAAGGAAGTGTTTGCATCTTCCTTATACAGTATCTGTTCCTGGATTAAAAAAAAAAATAGTAAAGTGAAGTGCGTGCATTCATCAGAGTTATATTGTAATAGCCTTGTTTCGCTCACCATAGAAAGGTTTCAGATTTACACCACCTTTCCACTCTCAGGCCACCACATTGATGGATTCCACTGAACTTGTGTGCTTTGCTCCCTCTATTCCTAAATCAGAAATGAACACGGCCCAACAGAAGATCATTCTTGTTGTGTGCCGCACCATCTGCGAAATAGAGGTTCAGAGAATGGCCGGGGCAAGGGCATCTGATGAGTCAGGGAGGAACTGTGGAAATGAGACAGCGCGAAAGCCTCCCGAGGAACTTTTGTATGGCGACACTTCAAAAGATTTGAATTAAAGGATGAAGAACAGCATGTGCACCTGAAACATCACAAGGGATGAAATTTATGCACATTCATCTGCGAATCCAATAAGATTCACATATGAAGCGTTTATGAAGCTGAGTCATCACGCTCATAACAGTCGACATTCACAGATGCTTTAAAATAGAAATATGAGGGGTAAACAATTCTTTGTTTGCAGTCTTCATTCCTAGGACTACAGATTCCTGGTTCATCTGTGGCAGTAGTTTCTTAGATAATGTTATAGTCTGATCTTTCTCACCATATGGCTGCTATTCAGACCAAGACATTTTCTTTTCTTGTTTTTTTAAATTTAAAGATTTTTTTGTTGTTTGTTTTGTTTTAATCAAGAATGAACAGTTTTAATAACAGGATGTAAAAATGTAATCAATGCCGGGCACAATCAAGAGGAAGGAAGTACCAGGGATGACATGAATTTGAGCCGTTGACTTTGAGCATCTGTAGAGGTGTAAAGATGACACATAAACATCTGTCAACACCTTTTTCTCTGCCCCTTCAGAGGTTACGAGATAAGACAGGCTAACAGCTGTTCTCATGGCAGATTAAAAACCCACCATTCAGGCACTAACCAGCTCTAATATCAGAGCAAATGTAGTTAGTACAGTCATCGTCAAAACAAGTCAAATCAAAATTTCCTTAATCTTTTGTAATTAGTTTTATATAGTATGAGAACACATTGTGAATTTTAGGACTCACAACCTCATTCCACACCGTTAAGGAGAAAAAGATAAATTATTGAAACTAGCTGCAAAAATGACACATTTGTTACATCAGATTGCATCAAAACATGCCTTCATACAGAGGATGCAGGATAGACAATATTACTCCTAAACACCAGAGGGGAAAAAAACAATAAGAGTTTTGAATCTTAGTCTGATCTTAACAGTATTATGGCACATTATAAACTTGCATTCATATACAATATTGACAGTTACTGTGTTTTTGCTTCAGCAAAACCAAACGAAGTTGTTCCTGTATGAATCAATGTTTTGAGTGAGTCAGTGAATGATTCAATGACAGTGTTTTGAATGAATCAGTTGAATGAATAAGGCAATGACTCACTCATAAAGACAGTCATCCAGAAATATGTACGCTAACCTCATTACAACCTTGTGACGCATCCAGATCCAAGGTACCTTGGAAATCAATAGAGATTCACAGAGTAAACTTAACAGGTTGTGTCTGAGTTCAAGAGTCGTTAATGCATTAATGGTCAGGAACGAGGAGATGAGAGGAGGAAAAGAGCCCTCTAATCATGCTGTTAGGTTAATCATGGCAATTCTGGGAACTACCTGGGGAGACAGTCTGCATTTGTATGAACAGAATATGAATGAGCCTTCCCCTGAATACATAGCACATAGAGAATGTACAATTAAGATTTAAACCTAGTTAAACAGGCCAAACTATACTCTCTCTGCTTGTTAAACTTCTGAAATAAAAAATATTACTGGCGAAAATCATAACAATCATCAGAAATGCCTTCAAAAACATGAATTTAGGCAATCTTGTCAGATCTTGTACTAGTTTCTACTGAAATGGGAATGACCAGGCCTCTAGACACAGCCCTGGTTATCGTCCTTTTGTCCAAATCCATCACATTCCAATTTGCATAAATATCATTAACCTCTCAAAATAATGGACTTCCAAAGTTTATGCCATACAAATTTGATGGAAATGGTATTTTGAAAATGACTCCTGACTGTGGAATGGATTCCTAGATTACTTTCACAGCATTTCATTGGCTGTTGTGCACAAATCGAGGCATGATTTATTGGAAGGGACTGCTGGTGGCATGGACTGCTCTTACATAATATTGCAGTCCAGACAGTATGGTCTGTAGCAATATTAACTCAGAAAAACTCAGAATCAAAAGGGAGGGGATTGAATGAATGCACTGACAAAGAACAAGACATGGTCTGTTTTTATGAAGCCAGCAACCGTTTTCTGACCAAAATGGTTCAGAAAAGAGGTCAAATCTGTCTGTGAAGCTCCATGGTCAGAATGGCGGATGTCAATGTCACATTGTATCAAGTGTTTGAGTGAGCATGCAGAGCATCCCTTGCTACTGCAGATCTTGTTTGTCGAGTGTGTTTTAGTGTGATCTGAAGGCATGACTGAGCAAAATTTAATTTGAATTGACAGCCGGAGAAGTGACGCTACCACCTGCCTGTTGTCAGCGTGTTAAGCTCAATTTGCTATGGCTTATCAAAAAGGGCGTCTTTGTTTTTTTTCCATCTCATCTCAGCATAGGGATAAATATGGTAAAATAAACAATGGCAAGAGTTTGTTTTTGTGATCAGAAATCTCAAGACAGACACACAGTGTATTGTTGTATTCCAGTGATTAAGTTATGCTTGTGTAAGATGACAGAAATATGGATTTCTAGGCTTCTGCTAAATGTGTTTGAGGTAGAAATGGTATTACATGATGTTGAGAATTCTTCCATGAATGTCAAGTTGACTGCAAAACAGGGTCAGGCTTTGTAACCTCCTGCCACGAAGAAAACATTAGCTGACAGCTGGGCCATGCTCTCCATCCTAACGGAGAGGACCATATCAGAAGCTCTAACCCTTGTAATCATTGAACACAAATCACACACAAACATACATTTAACATGTTGTGGCAGCTGATCATTTGACATGATAAAATAAGTTTATAAGCTTTAAATTACAACCTGTTTTATTACCGCCATGGCATCTCTAACTATAAATGCAAAGCACTGGGTATTTACAGAGTCACCGTTATGACAGGTTTATTTTCAGATATGAAATTTGATTCCTGTTGTATAAATTACAAAATAATGTTAAGATATAATGTTCACAATACGACAAGCCTGAGCCCTGTGAGATATTTCACCCTTTAGCAGAGTACAACTCATACACCATTTTATTGATTAAGGAGGAACCATAAAATTATATGTGATGAGTTCTTGCTGTGAGTGGTCTGTCTGAGACAGAGGTCTGTGTTTAAATCAATAAAAGCTGATTTTGCTCTATACACACTAATTCAGTAAAGAATTCATAGATTCAAAGCTCTTACAGGGCATATAAAATGCCCATAAAATTAAGTTTAAAGAAAAGAGCCAAATAGCAACAAATATTGAATGTTTAACAGGGCTATCGTTATATCAGGGTCAATGATCAATAAAGATGTCCAAGATTATGATACGAAGAGTCTTTTCCCCCCACAAATCTATAATCTACTAGATTTTAAGTTCTTAAAAATGTTATCTCTGTGTGCATTGTATGAGTTTAAATATAAGTCTGTGTGTATGTAACATTACTCCATGTTCTGCCTCAAACTCTGACCATGATCACATTGTGGCACTACTAAAAGAGAGTGAATCTGATCTCAGATGTTAGTGCATTAACATTTCTGCAAATGCTTTGACTAGATGGGGCTATGTAATATGCTTAGGGAAACCCTGGAAATTGGCCTTAAATACAAGCTAATCCAAGAAAAGGGTACAGCTGGGCAGATGAGGACAGAATGACAAAAAGGTAACACTTTATTTTAAGGTGACGTAGTTACACATTACTGCATGTACTTATTATAGTAAAAACAGTCAATTATGCATAATTACAAGTAACTAACCCTATAAACCATACCCTAACTCTAACCATAACTCTAAAGTAAGTACATGTAGTTAATTAATATTACTCCGTACTTATCTGAGTAAGTAAAATATAACTACATGACCTTAAAGTAAAGTGTAAAAGACACAAAACATTGACAATGCTTAAGGGAAACGGGTGGGCAAGTAGAAGATAGTGGTGGAGGAAATGTGAGACCTGGGACACAAGGGAGAAACAGGAACAGCAGAATCTGAGACAGGCTAGACTGAGACTGGTCTGTGAAAATGACTAAAATCAATTGTGACTGATTTTTTTAAATTTTCTATTTTCTTTTTTTCTAACACCACCACAAGACCAAACATTCGCTTTGAGAGTGACAGTGATGATGAAGATATGGTCAAACAAACAAGGACATTGCCTCCAGCCCCAAAGATAAAAGGACCAAACTTTGATATTCAGTCTGCAATAAAGAGAAGGGTTCAAAAGCCTGAACCTCACAAGCAGATGACAAACCCAGAACCCAGACGGTCTGTGACAAGTCCTGAGCCCAGATGGTCCGTGACAAGTCCTGAGCCCAGACGGTCCGTGACAAGTCCTGAGCCCAGACGGTCTGAAATAAGTCCCGAACCCAGTCGGTCTATGGCAAGTTCTGAACCACAACGACGAGATGAAAGTCAAAGACAGACAGGAACTACTTTAAGTGATCTTGCTCGTAAGTGATTTTATAAAAGTTTTGTATTGTTTGTCTGTAAATGACATATAGGTATATATGTATGTATATATTCACACACCCCTTTACCACCGTATAGCCAAACCATTCTTTTTGATTAACCATTCCATTCTGTGCTGATCTGGCCCAGCCAGTACTGTTACGGGGCAAACAAGACGTGAGATGTACGGATCCATTTGCGGAATATCATGTGAAGTCCACTTCGCAGGGCACTTAAGGTCGAATAAGACAACGCTTGAATGCTGCCTGAACAAGAGACCTCCTTACTGAAGTGAAAGTGTTGGCTGGTGTGACTATCTCGCGACCGCGGCAGCGGATCTCATCCAAATTCGGGGGATCCCTTCAGCTCGAGGAGCCCTCTCGAACGCCACCCTCCGCGCGTCGGTAGCCCCCCGGGATCGCTAGATCGGTCGGCGCCGGACCGCGAATTTAACCACCCGTAACTCCCGAACCCCGGGGGCTATCAACGCAGGGGTGGTCTCATTCGAAAGAGGGCCTCGAGACGTACACTCGATTCGTGTTCGAGAGGGTTCCTTGAACTGAAGAGATCCCCCAAATTTGGTGCGGATTCGCCGCGCCGTTACGGAGATATGGCCGTTCAAAGTTTCAATGGTTTTCCATTGACTTAAGCTTTAAAGCGTTTCATCCAGTTCACCAGTAGCAAACAATGGAGCGCACTCTGCTGGACAAACTAAGTAATTACACCATTTCAAGCATTTTATATGCATTATATGTTCTGTAAAAAAAAATTTCATATCGGCCGCATATTCGCCGATACCGATATATCGGCGACAGGCTCATATCGGCCGATAATATCGGCAAAACAATATATCAGTCGGGCTCTAATCCAAAGTACACAGGCAATGAGCAGAAGACAAGGAAACAGACAAGGCAAGACTAGGCTAGACTAAGAAACTTAAAGCAGGCTCCGTAACGTAGCTGTCACAACTAGCGATATGCGCATACAATACTCGGCCGCCTGAAAGGGATCTGAGTGAGTGTTATATAGTGAATGTGTGATTGGTACAGCTGTGTGCAATCAGTGCTATGTGAAATCAGTGCAATGGATGATGGGATATGTAGTCTGGGATGACATGCAACGGAGTGTGTAGTGCGAGAGTCAATGTAATGGAAGGGTGACCTCTGGTGGTGATTGTACGGAAGTCCATGGACAGGATTCGTGACAAGTACGGATATGATTTTATTTCCACTGTGGGGCTGATAACAGCCGCTCTTTGGATTGTAATACAAATGCTTCAGTCATTGCCTTGGTAAATCAAGAGTTTACAGATGATACGAGATGTAAATAGCAACCTTATGGAGGATGATCAGATATTTATTTTAATTTAATATTTATTTGAGTTTACGTCACTCAAATAGCTCAAATAGCACACTTAGCCAGCTACAGAGAAACTGGAAGCCAGGCAACTCACAAGTGACGATGTCAATTAGCCAAACGTCCTGAGAATTCCGGGCCGAGAATGGTTTGTAATTGTGCCATGTCGTACCAGGCTCAAGTGGAAATACAACTGGAACCATTCCTTACTGTTTTTAAAACCATTTTGCCCAACGGTCGAAAAGCAACTTTATATTACAGATCTGCGCTGGACAGATTTTTCTGTCCTGCTCCTGCAAAAATATATTTTACCTTCTCCCGCCCGCAACATTCATGTTTTGTCCCGCTCCCACCCGCAAAAGCCAGAATAAAAGTACAAATAGATTATTTTCTATACAGGGTTCGTACGGTCATGAAAAACCTAAGTCATGGAATTTTAAAACAGCAATTTCCAGGGCTGGAAAAGTTTTGGAAAAATAAATAAACCCAGAAAGTTTTGGAAAAGTCATGGAAATCTGTTTCACAAAACTCTGTATAATAGAATTGTTTAATCAGGTCCTGAATTTCGGTGCGGGATTGCGCATAGGCTATATTGCATAGTTTTACTCATTCCCGCAGCTTTTGACTTTAAAAAGATGGATACTCACACATTTATTCAATAGCCTATAGCATGTAGATTTGATGAGTACATAATCAAACCTACAGACTGAGTCCAGTCCACACAGACTGATCAAATCAGTCATTTGAAAACAGCGTGAGTGATTCAGCTGTACGCGTCTTCTCTCTTTGACTTTCTCTTCAAACGGCTTCACATCGGCGCA